GCAGTGCTAAATAAAATGAGATGAAGCAGTGCTAAATAAAATGAGATGGTGCAGTGCTGAATAAAATGAGATGGTGCAGTGCTAAATAAAATGAGATGGTGCAGTGTTAAATAAAATGAGATGGTGCAGTACTAAATAAAATGAGATGGTGAAGTGCTAAATAAAATGAGATGGTGCAGTGCTAAATAAAATGAGATGGTGCAGTAGTAAATAGAATGAGACGGTGCAGTACTAAATAAAATGAGATGGTGCAGCGCTGAATAAAATGAGATGGTTCAGTGCGAAATAAAATGAGATGTTGCAGTGCTAAATAAAATGAGATGGTACAGTGCTAAATAAAATGAGATGGTGCAGTGCGAAATAAAATGAGATGTTGCAGTGCTAAATAAAATGAGATGGTACAGTGCTAAATAAAATGAGATGGTGCAGTGCTAATTAGAATGCGATAGTACAGTGCTAAATAAAACGCGATGGTGCAGTGCTAAAGAAAATAAGGGGTGCAGTGCTGATTAAAATGAGATGGTGCAGTGCTAAATAAAGTGAGATGGTGCAGTGCTAAATAAAATGCAATGGTTCAGTGCTGAATAAAATGAGATGTTGCAGTGCTAAATAAAATGAGATGGCGCAGTACTAAATAAAATGAGATGGTGAAGTGCTGAATAAAATGAGATGGTGCAGTGCTAAATACAATGAGATGGTGCAGTGCGAAATAAAATGAGATGGCACAGTACTAAATAAAATGAGATGTTGCAGTGCTAAATAAAGTGAGATGGTACAGTGCTAAATAAAATGAGATGGTGCAGTGCTGAATAAAATGAGATGGTGCAGTGCTAAATAAAATGAGATGGTGCAGTGCTAAATAAAATGAGATGGCGCAGTGCTAAATAAAATGAGATGGTGCAGTGCTAAATAAAATGAGATGGTGCAGTGCTAAATAAAATGAGATGGTGCAGTGCTAAATAAAATGAGATGGAGCAGTGCTAAATAAAATGAGATGGTGCAGTGCTGAATAAAATGCGATGGTGCAGAGTTAAATACAATGAGATGGTGCAGTGCTAAATAAAAGTGAGATGGTACAGTGCTAAATAAAATGAGATGGTGCAGTGCTAAATAAAATGAGATGGAGCAGTGCTAAATCAAATGAGATGGTGCAGTGCTAAATAAAATGAGATGGTGCAGTGCTAAATAAAATGAGATGGTGCAGTGCTAAATAAAATGAGATGGTGCAGTGCTAAATAAAATGAGATGGTGCAGTGCTAAATAAAATGAGATGAAGCAGTGCTAAATAAAATGAGATGGTGCAGTGCTGAATAAAATGCGATGGTGCAGTGCTAAATAAAATGAGATGGTGCAGTGTTAAATAAAATGAGATGGTGCAGTACTAAATAAAATGAGATGGTGCAGTGCTAAATAAAATGAGATGGTGCAGTGCTAAATAAAATGAGATGGTGCAGTAGTAAATAGAATGAGACGGTGCAGTACTAAATAAAATGAGATGGTGCAGCGCTGAATAAAATGAGATGGTTCAGTGCGAAATAAAATGAGATGTTGCAGTGCTAAATAAAATGAGATGGTACAGTGCTAAATAAAATGAGATGGTGCAGTGCGAAATAAAATGAGATGTTGCAGTGCTAAATAAAATGAGATGGTACAGTGCTAAATAAAATGAGATGGTGAAGTGCTAAATAAAATGAGATGTTGCAGTGCTAAATAAAATGAGATGGTGCATTGCTAAATAAAATGAGATGGTGCAGTGCGAAATAAAATGAGATGTTGCAGTGCTAAATAAAATAGGATGGTACAGTGCTAAATAAAATGAGATGGTGAAGTGCTGATTGAAATGAAATGGTGCAGTGCTAAATAAAAAGAGATGTTACAGTGCCAAATAAAATAAGATGGTGCAGTGCTAAATAAAATGAGATGGTACAGTGCCAAATAAAATGAGATGCTGCAGTGCTAAATAAAATGAGATGGTGCAGTGCTAAATAAAATGAGATGGTACAGTGCTAAATAAAATGAGATGGTGCAGTGCTAAATAAAATGAGATGGTGCAGTGCTAAATAAAATGAGATATTGTAGTGCTAAATAAAATGAGATGGAGCAGTGCTAAATAAAATGAGATGGTACAGTGCTAAATAAAATGAGATGGTGAAGTGCTGATTGAAATGAGATGTTGCAGTGCTAAATAAAATGAGATGGTGCAGTGCTAAATAAAATGA